GAAAAGATGGAGTGTGGAAAAGCACCAGACCCTGAGAAACCTAATGTACCTTCAAAGCTGACCCTAGGTAAAGTGCAGGCTGAACCACGGGTGGCCAGAGGTCTCCTCCAAGAGAGATCCTCTGTGGTCCTAAGCGTAGCCTAAGATGACTTTATCAAGAGCAGGCGTGTGGTATTTGGTGTTAGAGCCAAATATGTGTACATACAGCTTTGAAGAAGGCAGTCTCATTTCGTTATTACAACCAACATCCAAAAGTTCTCTGACCTCTAAGCCATTAATAAACCCACTCCCGTTTCCCATATTGTGAAACAGGTGCATTTTTGCAAAATATGCCGAGAAATGTGTTACAAAGGCTACTTAAGGGATGACTTACATTTCTTCCCTTTTTCAGTAGGGAAAAAAAGTTCCCCGAGCCTTCTGTGCTAGTGAAAGATGCTGCACTGCTAATTCGGATACCAGCTATCCTCTTGTCTCAAGACAGATGCTGCAAAACTCTTCAGATGAGGAGAAAATGAAACCTTGCGCCCCCACCCGCCACGTACTTAAAATCTCTCTCCGTGCTTTTTTCAGCTTGCACGTCTCAGTGGCAACTGGCCCTTCGGCAAGTGCTGTGTCCCCAGGGGGCTGCTGGAAAGAAATGTGAGGCTCCCCAGATCCCCGGGGAGAGCTGCCTGCTCTCATTCTACCCACTTCCACTTTCAGTGTGCTTTCTGGCACCCTCTCCCATAATTTGAGGCCAGCCAGACGACTTTAACATTTCTGACTTGTCTCTGGTTCATCTTTTGCTTTTTCTCTCACAAGCGTAGAGCTCTAAAGCTCCCCAAGGAAGGAAGAGAAACCGCACTGGAAGATGAGCGCCTTCCGTGGGCAAAATCTGTTTCTGCTCAGCCTGTGTTTTCTCTTAAGAAGTAGGTGTCTAAAATCACAGCTTAGTACTTCCCTCATTTGCTTATGATGTGAGACCACTGTTTCAGTAAAGCCTGTCCCCGAACTACAGAGAAGAGGAAGCTGATAGGTCATGGATTTCTCAGCCTCTGAGCAAGATTAACCGTCCTCTGTGTGCATCTGTGAGGTCCCAACCCGGGGAACTGCTAGTGATACTATAGCCACAAATTACATAAGGTGAATTTTTGCACCTCGCTTTTCTGCCATGGCAGACTGCCACTGTAGTTAAAATGCACCACTATTGTTTTAAATGTGACTTTCCTGAGAAAATGGAGGGTCTACTGAAGCTGCCACTTCTTCTAGCAAGGACTAAGACATGGACAAAGGTAACTACAAGTCATTTAATTCATTTCTTGTTAAATGTAATTGAAGTGACATTCCCCAAAGGCTCTGGGCCTCTCTGCAGAATTTCTGAAAATGCATAAAAATGAGGCTAAATCCCTCATATGAAGTTTAAATATTAGATTTCTGGGAATTAACACCAAAAGAAAGAAAGGCAGGCAGGAAGGAAGGAAGTTAGCAAAAGCCTTCCCTGCTTGTTAGCCACCATCCTTCCCATAATCCAGAAATGCTAGAAAGTAGCTAAGTTTCTCAGTGCGCACTGGAAGTCAACAATCCCATCTTTTTTACTGAGGCAGAGAGAGAGATGTTTTTTTAGAATAGGAGCTCAGGGCTACATGGAAGAACAGAAATTTAATCCCTTAAGTCTCTGAGGCTGCAGCCTCACTATCTGTGGATAATGACTTTACAGACTTTCTTGAGCTGTGTTTGAAGAACGGTTGTCTGTAAAACTTAAACATTTCAAGTTACTCATCAATTGGTGAAAAATGAGGTTTTGATGAAGCTGGATCCCTTTGCATTAGATAAAAATCTGGTTCTTTGTGAACAGAAAGTGAACAGTGCTGAGACCTGACAAAATGTGGTCACAAGTCCAGATGTGGGTCAACGCACACATGTCAGTGCATCTACCTACACACAGAAATGCTGTGTATGCAATAGGAGGGCCTTTTAACAGATAATACCTCAACTCAGGGACAAATAGGCCACAGAATATGTTATTAGCCACAATTTCAGATGGAAAGAAATAGATAGACTGTTATTACAGTGTTAAAGAGGTCCCTATTAGCCAGTGTGGCTTGATTTTAGGAAGTGCTGACTCCCAGCCTACTCAGCTAGAGGTTCTTGCTGGTAAGGACTGGAGAGTTTGCTTGTTAGTTACTGGTGTTTTCTAGCCACAATATCATAAAGTTCCTTTACATGTACCAGTAATGTGCTTTTTGAGTATGTTTGCCTCCAAATGCCTTTCCCTTTTTCAAAGCTGCACTATGGATCCTGAGTGCATGACTCACTCTCCAAAGAGAGACTGTGTCTCAGCAGCCAAGCTGCAGCAAAGAGCACAACACCGGTATTAAGTGGCATCAAAGTAATGCTGCATGCAGCTGTATGATAACTAGAGAGCAATGCATGTGCATTAGTTAGCTCATCAGGAAAATCTCATTTGAAAAGAGGGTTCCTCCTAGTTTACCTGTGCGTAACGCAGCTTGGATGAAAAATTAGCTGTCACACCACTTGCTTGAGGCAGCAAAGAATCATTCTTGAACCGATTCAAAATGATCACTCCAGGCTCTCAGTTAAGTCCGACTACATGTCATGCCAAGCATATTCTTTATTCCAAACTTCAGGTAATCAAGCATGTTTCCTCTCAATACAAAGCCTAAATCAGTTATAAGAGGCATGCATAATTCTACAGGTTCATTAAAACATGAACTCCTCTGTGTCATGTGCTTAGTCTGTTAACAATCTCTGTTTCCAAAATTGATTAAGTCCTATTTCTGTAGTTATATTACAGTAACTGGCAGTAATATCTCCACTACGAATTTCTAGAGAGGTGTGTGCGCACAGGAAAAGGGAGAAAGAGGAACAGCAGTTTGTGACTTAAGCTCAGGCTAGATACTTAAATACAGTAGTTAGGAAAGTAGAGGGCTTGGTAAGGCTATCTGTGTGAAACTGAAGGGTATCAGTGCAGTTGGTTCACGTGGATGATGTATACCACTGACCTGCCTGGAGAGCAATGTGGGCTTATTTGGTTCTTAGGCATTTTCCTTTTCCTTAGGTGAACAGAAATTGCACATGAGTGTGCCCCTAATGCACGTTTTTTCATGGAAAATAGTAGTTGCCAATTAAACTCCCACAAAAATGAGAGTACTTCATCTTGCAAGTCGCTGTCTGGCCTGAGGGACATGAGCTGCTGCTTACACCTCAAGCTCCACAACCAACTCTGCTAGACTCTTGTGGTCCTCCTTGAGGACCCTTTTCTGTGCACCTCTTCAGACCTCCCTCTTCTCCCCTCTGGCTTGCTCTGTTTGTCTGTCTCATCCCTGGCCACCTTCTGAGAGTTGGTTCCTGTCTTTTGTCACCATTTCCCTGAGCTGGGGTTTGCTGATACAAAATAGGGTAGGGAAACCAAACTGTGGAGAGTGCAGAATGGGGAAGCTGGTGAGAGGAGCAGGATGGGGAACAAGCCAGGTGAGGAAATGGATATTTACCTCATCCTTGAACCTATCTGTGCACCTGGTCCAGTGGATCTGGTTCCAGGGCTCAGCTCTGGACTTCCTTACTCTGCTTCCCAGTGAGGACATGTAGGATACAGGGAGACCCAGGGAATGTTAGTGCTCACCTGGAGGTTGGAAAGATCCTATCCGACAGCACGGGGAATGGCTGGGGTGCAGGAAGCAGGGCTTTGGGTGCAGAGCTTGGCTGCCAAGTCCCGAGGTATCCTATGTTTTCAACTATCTCTTCTGCCCCTTTTTCTTCTTGTCTTTAGTCTGTGGCCTTAACTGTGCAGGTACCATAGCTAACAGTGGTAGGTGCCTGTGCTCCTTGTGATACAAAATGGGGATCAGGATATGGTGGACATGTGAGAGAAAGTATTGCAAAACAGGCAGATGAAGAAGCAAGGTTTAGCAAGCTGTTACTTGATCTAGCAATATGGCAAAGTTTATCATTTACCAGGAGCAGTCTCATCTGTTAGACCTTTGAATCTGAGAGTTGGCAAAATTAATAAACCTCCCACGATTATACGTTTTTTTTAATTTTCTGATAAGGACGTAAGATTTTTCGGGAGGAAAAATTGGGGAAAGTGAAACTAGAAGGGTTTGAGTGTTTTACTGTCTGTTCAAAGGGCCCACTCATTCCATACAAGCTTGTTAACAGGCTTACGTGCTATGTGGGTTGCTCAGGAGGGAGCAGCCAGGCAGCGCAGATATGGGTTCCTCCCATGCAAGAAAAGGTCACTGGACTGCAGTGAAGAGTAATCATGAGATTTGCTGGCTTTGACAGACTTTCAGCTCCACAGACTTCACTGTTTTCTTTCCACTTGGGTTTGTGGGTGTAACCGAGAGCAGCACATCTTTGTATGTGCTCCTCTGGCTTCCTGTGTGACCATACCTGTACAGCCTATTTGTTGCAAAAATAACGAATGAAAGTTAAGAGTAGAAAATAATATATATAGGTAGGAAGCCCTGGGGCCATGTCTTAGGAAGGCTGCACAGGTGCTGTACATTCCCCACAAACTGGATCCCAACCCTATTTGTCTACTTCAATGTGCTATAGTGGATGTATGGTTTGAAAGGATGCTTTAACCCTAGTACTTGCTCTTTTCAGTAATGATCTGAGGCCATAGGCAGGACAAATCGTGACACTGCACTGGTCCTACTGATGTCCTGCCCATTCAATAGGATGCTGCCCTATAAAATCTGAAGGCCGTCCACTGAACCTTAACACACGTGGCATTGGTGTGCCATCTCAAACATCACGTTATGGTATTGAGAGAGGCAGTAGATGACCGAGATGAATATGTAACTCGTTAACTGAAATGTTACACAGTCCTTCCAATCCACTGGCTAGTTTTACAGCGTAGGTGGGAGTAACAACTTTTTTTGTTTCTTTCAAGAGATGGTGAAAACTGAGTGACACAGTACTTTATCTGAGCGGATTATGTGTGCCTTAAATGGTTGGTGGCTTCAGTGAGCTCATCCTGCTTCCCTGCTTCAAAAGGCACGGTCTTTTGATTTGTTTGCTTATAAAAATGAACCTATTGCAGGCTCCTGTGCTTTTCTTTTCTGTGCTAGCACATTTGATGGTGAGGTGGTGAGGAGCTTCCTGTTTATCTACAAAAATCTCCCCTTCCAAATCAAACTTGGCTCTCTGGGAAATTCACTAAGCCGAGGTTCCCAGTCTCGTTCAGACAAGCCAACTTAAGATTTTTGTGGCCGCTGCGTTTCTTGGTGGTGCAGTACTTGTTACACGTGTTCAGCCCGGTTGTAGGTCTCTGGTGCCAGCACTTTTTTCTGGGACTGCTGTGAAGGGACCTGCTGATGCTTCTGGCTCGTGAAGGCAGCAGAGGGAAAGCAGCACGTACTCAGATGGACGTGCCTCGGTGCTGGCCGGGGACTTGCACAGGAAACCCACCTGCCCCCAGCTCCCTTCCTTGCCTTTCTGAGCAACCCCAGACTTTTCCCAATATGTATTATATCATGGGCAGAGAATTGCAAAGCATCATCAAGAACCGCATTGTCTCACCTGCATTTGTTCTCAGGAAGGAAGGCCTTTTTACTCTTTCCCTTCTGTCTGCAAGGCCTACGTGCATGTCCATTTAGGCGCTCTCTTCATTGAATGGCTGTCCTTGTTTTTCAGTTTAATACCACTGAGGCAGAAGCTGTTTCCAAGAAATAGTCTGTCCTTTTTCTGAAAGTCATTTCTAGTCCATGAAAATAATTTTACTTTTATCAGCTGAGCAATAAATGTACTTAAAGCTCTATTTCTGGGCCCTTAATCATACATAACTTGATCCAAAAGTCTCTGAGCCCCTCACTAAAACAGCTAGTCTCCAACCGTATAAGACCTGGCCCACTAAAATGAACACAGCAAATTGAATTTTTCTAGGAGATAATTTTCTACTTTTTTAAAAAAAATAAGGACTATCATTGACTTACTAGGTTCATAACTTATATATTTCTAAAAAAAACCTAAAACACATCAACAGCTAATGGCCTGAACTCACAACTTAGCGCAGAAACAATTACTGTAGATTTTTTTTGCCACAGATTCTGTGATTGAGTTCAAAAGCAAGGAGAACTCAAAGGTATCATAAGAATAATAAACCGCCTGAATTATCAAAATAGCGGAGTGAGTGCATATCTTTTACACGCTGTGGTGTTAGCCAGAATAACACCAAGAAAAAATATGACCACAAAGGAGCCTGACTTTCTTCCATTAACTTAAGTGCAAGTCATCTGGTGCAATATGTGCACCCTGACAGCAGCAGATCTAGTACATCCTTCCTTTTCAACTGTGATCTGAATTTTTAATGAAGTTAAAGACTCTGTATATACTGCTCTAAAACTCTTGGTGCAAATATTACTATGAGTAAGTTTTTTTTAAGCCCATTATTTTCCAGGAGCCAGATGCACGATATCCAAGTTAGAGCTGAATAAGTGGTGCAAAAGAAGAGTGTGAGTGCTCTTTTCAAACTTCAGATGGTACTTTGACCTTTACCTCCTTTTTATCTTCTCTCCCACATACCTGAGCATGAAGCATTATCACATTTTTGTGCCAGTATTTGGAGGAAAACTTAGCATGGCACAGTTGCACGCACTTACTTGTGAACAAAAATTTCTGATTTTAACTGAGGTCTGTTACTGCTCATCTTTTGATATTTCCGTCATTCATCAGAGACAAAAGCAGCATGCAGTGACTTAGCTAATTAATCATCACACCAATAGCAGATAAGAGCATTGTATTTCTATATTATCTCAAACATTGTGTGATTTTTTTGTAAAAGAAAAATAACTCTCCTCCTCTTCCCTCCCCCCAACAAACAAACAAAAGGATTCACTTGCTTATTATTAGTAATAGGATTAGACATTCGTGGTATTTAAAGACCTTCCGAAGGAGACAGAGTAAACTGAAATGAAAAACAGTCCTCAGAAGGGTTCCCTTAGCAAAACTGAGGAAACCTCAAATAAAAATTCTCCAACAAACATTCTTAGCATTTGGTTAGGAGGGAGGTGATCTGGAGGGAGGTATCATCTTCCTCATGGATTTGTTTTACATGTTTATATCCTGGCTGAACCCTCTCCTCTTCTCCTCCCCCTTGTCTGTATTCAAACCACAGCCAAGTCCAGGTCAGACTGGAAGCAGAACCTGAACGCAGGAAGGATAACGAAGAGAAATAACAGGAGAGAAAGAAACGATGTCCTAGAGGGGAGCTAGACCTGAGACTGCCTGCAAAGTGGGTGACTGGAGAAGTCCTGGCTAGGTTTATTTTTTACAGTAATGGAGGCATATTCAGTGAGTTCATTTTCCACCCTTGGCTCCCTTCTCTGGCATTTTTCTGCAGAAGCGGAATGATTTAGTGCAGCATAAATGAGGACATCTTGGCTTTCAGGTGCAGCTGAGATGGAAGGGATGGCAGGATCACAGTGAGGTGCTTTAGGTGCTGTCCTGTGAGCATCGCAGTGAGGGACATCGTTATCATAAATTGCAGAGCTGTCAGAGAGCTGCCATGGGCTAACCATGGAGCAGTAGTAAAGTGAGGAGCTTTCATCTGACGCTTGAGTTGTCCCAGCAGCGCAGTATGGAATGGCTGCTGGACCTCTGACCTGCAGAAAACAGAAGAGAGTACAGCTCTGGGCACATCAAGGTGTTACTCATGCTCCTGCTGAAGAAGAGATGTGTAAGAATGTAAGTTGCTTTCTTCCTTTAAAACTGCGTCAACAATTACAGGTATGCTTTTGAGCACAGGTGAATTAACCCACCACTGGGTGATAAACTGATCTTGGAAATAAAGTTGGAAGTCATTCTTGCTGCTCTGGCCTCTCTCCATTTCCTTTCCCAAACTCAGCCATGTCTTTTTTTTCTTGCATGATTTCACTTAAGGCGAAGCTGGTCTATCATCTTGCAAGAGCTCTTTTATGCCACTTATTCAGGCTTTCCCTTCCAAGCCTATTAAATCTTTCTTATGCTCATCTCCAAACCCAAAATTACCTTTTCCTGATTGCCCCCGTCCTTCTATTCCCTGATCTCTTGCTTTGTCTCCTTTTTGTCTTACTATTCTCCAAATAAATCTCCTTTTCCAAAATCTTCAAATTTCTGTATAAATTCATCTCTCCCTAAGGAAATACTCTTTTGACATCCATTTGCTAGCCACGTAAAATATACTGCTTTTAATTTGCTTTCCTCCAACTCGCCCCTCGAGAGCTCGGCAGTCTGTTTGGCGCCCTGTGGTGCCCCCCAGTGCTTCCCTTGTGACCGATAGCGATCAGCTCCTGCCACGTCTTTTGCATTCTGCCTTCTGCCTGTTTATTTTCTCCGCAACTGTCTGCAAGAGCTGCGTGAATTCATGGCAGGCACATACAAAAGCCTTTCTTTTCTACACTAGCACGTTTGATGATGAGGTGCCACACTCTGTGTGATATTTTCTGTCTTATGCAGCCAGTCAGAATCAGATCCACAGAGGTACTTTGGGCGCCTAAACTCTTACTGAAATGGCACTTAAAAAATTAATACATTTCAATAGGCGTTTAGGTGCCTAAAGTACATTTGTGGCTAAGGACCTTCCCTCAGCTCAGCCATGACGATTTCTCACGTCAGGGACGCCCTGCTGTCCAGGCAACAAGCGGGTCACGACATTTGTCTTGGTTCTATTCTAAGTTTTACACTACACAAAGATTTGTTCTAAGTACATGGTTATGCAGGACATGACCAAGTTTTGCATTATGGCAGCGTTTAAACATACCAGGGTCTCTCGTCTCTGTGGGGTTAATGGAGTTCTCTTTTGCTTTGCTAGGGAAGAAAAAAACAGAAAAGAAGGTTTCAAAAAAGCAGCATTTCTGCCCACAGAGGGGATGTTCATTACTAAAGCAGTCCTTGCCTTATTGAGTGCACCTCAAAGAATTGAAATCTATTCCCAATGTGGATTTGGAAAGAGCCGTTCTAAGAAAAGGCAATAAACATAGAAAGATGTATGTATAGAACGAGTTTCTGTGTTCCTCAGAGCCCCTCTGAATAAAAGCAGAAAAATTCCTAGTGTACTTGGGGCAGATTTCTCTATATCCAGTGAATTGGATGGGGGGAAAAAGGCATAGAAAACCTTCAAGCCATCTCATTAGTAAAGTTTAAATTTTTTTAGAAGATGAAGTAATTCCTTTTCCTGAAGTAGAAAACTCATAGAAGTATAATAGGCAATGAGCAATCACTTTGCCTAAATTAACATATGGGGAACTCTTAAGTTCCATTCGTGACTTATAAGATGGCAGCTGCATAACAGTTCTTATAAAACAGGAAAGATTAAGAATGTAATTATTTGATATTTTAGAGGGAAGTTAGGGGTGCAAAATGCAACTGGATAGAGTTTGACTGCATTTACGTGGCTAACACTCCAACTTATTTGTAACATGATTATTCACAAGATAGGACAAAAATTTTCAATTATTATAAAATCTGAAGTTTTGATTTGTTCTTGGTTTACTTCCATCCCTCTCTCTCTGGAAGGAACAGTACATGCGATAAATTAAATTCTTAAAGATTCAGTATGGCCACACTTGATAAAGACATCTCAGCAATCAAAAGGGGTAGTTACTAGAGCATTTTCATAATGCTTTGAGTGACTTTAAGCTCTGAATAGGAAAGGAATCAAACACACACTAGGAAGACATCGTAGGATAAAACTGCTCACCATGGTACCACCTTAGACACCAAAACATGCATGTGAAGACGAGTGGACAACATAGGCGCAAGCATAATGCAGCATAAATAAAGTGAAATATCTTGTCATTTCCAGATTCTTGGGAATCTTCTGAGATACTAGTGGTATCTAAAAATTGCATCAACATGTATTAGCATAGAATAATATTTGACAGGTGATTTTAGCGTTAGGTATTTCTGATGCAACTTGCTTCTCAGGGTAGGTAAAGCATTCTCTAATTTAGTATTAGCATGCTGTGAGATTACCATCTCCATGGGTGGATTACTAAGTATTAAGATACTGGAAGGAAAAGCGCATGGAAAAGTGTAACTGGTGAATGATGCATGGTACAAGACCAGCCAAAACATGTAAGGGTCAAAATTAGAGCGCTGCTCTATACAGCCGTATATTTCCATTATAATCTTTCTTCCTCTTTTTTTTTCCCTAGTCTTTGCACTGTGAACAAACAAACAAAGAAGCCTTCTGACAGGTTTGTATCAACTGTGAAAAAAATGTAGTGATGGAGACTGGAAATGGATGCTAGTATGAGGTATGCATATGGCAGCATTTGACAGATAAATGATCTAACTTTAAGTTAGATCCAAAGGTCTAACTTTAAGTTTACTTTAAGATCTTTTTAAGTTAGATCCTTTTAAGAATTGGACCTTGAGATTAATTTTGGATTGCGTTTGAAGCTTGTCAAAAAAAAAAAGACAACAGGGCTGCTAAGGGAAGCACATTAGGAGGCAGGAACTGTCCTTGTCTCCTGTGCATGGGACTGAAGACGGAGGACAGAGTGAGAAATGGGAAGAAAGGCAATGTCAGTCATAACTCAGTAACATAAATGAGTTTTTTCGTAGGAGTAAGATTCTTAATGCACAGTTTTGAGGTCTGCTGTCTTCTGGTGCGTAAAGTATGGATGCGACGCCGGAGAACAGACCCAGTCAATGAACGCTATAGTTCATTGAGTAGTTGTCCACAACAGATGTATTGTGAGCAATAACCAACTGTGAGCAAAAAGCAAAAAGCACACTACAGGGTATGTTAAAGTGATGGTATAGTGTGATTCCTAACAGTTTGTAAGTATAAGCCATATGTATCCCTGAGGTATTAAGGAGTGTATGAAAAAGCAGAAGTGTAGATCATACTGCCAGGAGGTGGTCTGTTTGGCTTTATCCCTTTAATGGTGAATGCAGAATAGTTGTAGACTTGAAAACTGACTTTTGAGAGACTGTATTTTGTTCCTCTTGTGTGGGAAACACACAACAGTAGTTTAGCAATGAGTTTAAATTTGTCCTGAATGCACAAAACGATTCAACCAGAAATTCATTTCAATACTCATTACTTCCCTTGTCTTAAAGAGGAAATAAGAATCATAGCTTACTTTCTGATGAACTTGTGATAATGTTTGCAGGCTTTTCTGAAAGAGAAAAACAAGACAGGGAAATGAAACGGCAGCCTGACATTCATGCATTTGTATTTTCCATACCACATACCAAAGTCTTCGCAAGTCTTTGCTTTGGTTGGGGGGGTGGAGGAGGGAACAAAATGCAAAAAGCGAAGGGTAGTTTTGGGGAGAGGGGTAGTAGAAATGAAGTGTTGCTCTCCCACTGCTGACAGAGTAATTCTGTATTTGGGACCTCTTTGGCATTCGGATAGACAGATGAGCAGAGTGCATAATTGGCAAATGGAGATAGATTCCACCACTTATTCATGGTAAGGTATTTGTGATTATACCATTCAGTAGCTACTCAGGGATCTGTGCTGGTCTTCTCACATCAAAAAAAACTTGCATCGTACGAGTTTGGCACATACTGTGTCTGCTAGCACATTACAGCCTTAAAGTTTGATGTTGCACCCTCTGCTGCAACATTTCCTGTGGCAATAAACAGGGTTTTAAAGCCCGTTAGCTTACCAGGAGAGGAACTGGCAACAGGACAACTTCATAACTATGCTACCAGGGGTCCCTAGGACACTGTGACCACTCAGATCACTTACCTAGGTGCAGAGCAACATTGAGGAGGGCAGACACAGCTTGCCATAATCTTGACTTGGCCTCCCAACTGCCTAAATCAACCTGAGGGCCTCACTTGCCCTTAACTCCTTAAGGTCATTTAAAAATTTATTGTGAAACTAAGGTTTCCTGCTGCCGGTGTGCAAAATTATACTTTCCCTCCATTTGCAGCAAGAGAGATCATTCTCAGCAGGAGGCTTGTATTGCTTTGTTCTCTTTACTGTCGTGTGGCCTCATCAGCTATTAAAACGTGACCCTTTGGATCCTGTCTAGTCCATGTGACATACAAACAGACTGAGCTCCTACAATCTATCTTTGTTCTAATTTTCATTTTTTATTATCAGATAGCCCACTAATGCCTGTTCAGTGGTGGTGTCTTTCCTTTTCTTTCCCCGGTCTTCCTTTTATTTATTCAATATTTTCTTTCCTTTCCCCCATGCCAAGGAAGCAAGATTGTAACTGAAGCATGACGAAGGTGGTGGATACCAGCACAACCGGATGCAGACTAGTCCTGTGCCACTGGAAGGACATGTTTGGAGAAGCCATCTTCTAGCATGCGTGAGTTTTTCGGTATGTGGAATTCGTTTGTTTTAAAGGACTCTTTCATAATAAAGGGGCCTCACCTTCAACAATAACCCTTATTCCATGGCTCTCACTGGACAAGGTGCCCGCTGTTGCTCGACATCGATAAGTTCCACTGTCATTATGGTGAACTGAGAAAAACTCCAGAATAAACTTATTATTGGCTTTCCATTCTGCTTTGCTCTCTTTCAGCAGCATGCATTCATTCCCTTCTATCTTGCACCACTGCACGGCTGGCCTCTCCTGGCAGTAATGAACTGGACAGTATATAACCAAAGAGTTTCCAAGATAACTTTTGTACTGGGAGTTCCTTTTAACTTGAATTTCAACAGGACAATCAGTGGCATCAAATCCTAGAACAGAAGAAAAACATGACAAAAATGCTTTTTTTTTTTTTCCTGCTGCGTACTCCCCATGACACTAATCGTAGTTTCTTTTCTCTCTCATTGCTCGAGACTTCCCTTGTCTGCTTTCAGCAGATCTTATCTCTGTATGGGACACTGATAGTAGATAACTCTGCTAACTATTTTTTCTTTCATTTTAAGGAGGATTGTTGAAAGGCACTTTCTCCCACTGATAGGAAATTCTCATTTTTTCCCTGTATCTCAGCCAAGTTTGGAATATAATAGTTTAGAGTACAAATAGGTAAAATATACATGGTAGGATTTCCTGTGTCATCCTTTTCACAGACCTTTTCTTTTACTTTTAGATTTATTTCAGATCATTGTTTTCTTCATAATTCTGGGTAATTTACAGAAGGAAAGACTGTTCTGTGGTAGAGATGTGTTGTAATTAGAATAACGAAAAGAATTGTATTTCATAAAAATATACCTTATCTTTATTTTTTGATTTTCTAAAGTTTTGTTGAACTCAGTGTTTTGATAAGGTATTGTATACCACTTTAGCTCTTGGTGTTGAATGTACTGATCTTTTATTAAAGATTCTTGTGTCTTGTCGTGCTTGATTGCTCTGGCTAAATAAAAATAATGAAAGCTGCATGATACCCAAGTGCTCCCTACTTCCTCACATTGTCCAAGCCTAAAGGAAAAGTTCTTAGCTATATCTGTATCTTCTGACTGATGGAGAGGAGTAGAAAAAAGTGGTAAAAATCTGTTCAAGAAAAGTTTTATAGGTAGGAGAAAGGTGCACGGGAGGAGAGAGCAGTGCAGAGAGGGGAAGGGTCTGTCTGCCAGAAGCCTCTGGGCTCCAGGGTAGCCAGCGCATGTAAGCTGTGAAACTGAATGTCTGAGACATACTGTCTCAACTGCAGAGTCAGCCAGGATTTCTTATGGATGTGATACAGCATTTCTTGTGAATACATGGGTAGTATATTCAGGAACTTGAGATGGCCAGATCAGCAAGTTCCATACAGATCACCTCTAATTTGCAAGCCTTTCCTCCACAAATTTCCCATTATTCCACCCCATAAATAATTTTCTGTGTTCATAGCCTTAATTACAGGAGACCTAACACTTTGCTACTGTTGATTTTTAAATTTACTTTCTTTCAGGTGACTTTGGCAATGCACGTTTATAAATTAAGCAGTACTAATCTGCTTATAAACCTATAATTCTTTAATATTATTCTAATCTTGCCAAATCAAATACGCCTGATCTTAGTTGATTATAGGGAAGAGATTATTCACTGTACGGCTGAGATTTGTAGCCGCTGAAGAAGCAAGAAATTGTGGTCTCTGATACCTCTCTGCCAAGGGCAGTGGAGAAACTCGTCTGCTCACAGACTTGGCATCCCAGGAAATATCTGCTTCCAGGGGTCCAAATCCAAGATCTTAAATGATAGTTTGGCGAGATTTCCCTACCGCTCTGATCATCAGCCCGCTCTGCTCAGGCCAGTAGGGTCCTTTTGAGGAATAAAGGTGAGCAACTAGGAAACAGCGCCATGGCTCTGGAAGCAGGCGGGCTGGAACCAGGAGCACAAGGACATTCTCATTATATCTCCCATGCTCACATGTGCCAAGGGCCAGGCAGGGACAGGTGTTTATAATTTCCATCATCTGAGGTGGACGGTAGCTCTGGGAGGCTGTTGGCTTCTTCAGAAACGGGAGGCTGGTCTGTGAAATCTGTTCCTTTGAGGGAGGAAAAAAAGGAAAGAGCATCTTTGTGTACCAGCTTTCTCTTAGTCAGGGTAGCTCTAGATGACAATCAATGAGGGGTGAGTAGCAAAATGCAGAGGTAAGAAACTTGGATAAGGATTTTAAAATTGGTCTTGCGTGAGGGAAAAGGGAGGAAATTCAGATATTCTTACTGATATCAGAAGATGAACAAGGTGAATGATAGTAGCTCTTGGTACAAATTACGTCTTTTTACAGCAGAAGAAGTGTGGGTGATAAGTAAGACTGAAGTCTTTCAATGCCCTTCAGAACAGAAGGAGAACAGCAGAATAAAAACAAGAGGACTTGGCAAGGAAAGCTTCAGTAGGTTTAGAGAACTGGGAGTTAACTCATGGTTTATAGATACAAGGAAAAGAGATAAATGAAGCTGTTGGTTCATCGTGTGAAGGATAAAAGGAATATAAGCACTAAGTATCTCCGCTACAGAAGTGCAGTGAAAGAACAGCTTGACTGAATCGTTAAGTCCTTCACTGAGACAAGAAGGAAGCCTCAAGAGTATAAAAAAGGTTTATATGAGTTTATATATTGAATGGTTCTGAGTCCAGTTCTGATCAGTGTTTTTATTAATGACCTAGATGAGGAATAAGAAAATATATCTATTAAATCTGCAGATGTTAGGAAGCTGTCAGGGATTGTATAAACACTAAAGAACAGGCTTAGACTTCTGTATGATCCTGATAAATTAAGAGAAATAGCTTATAAAAAGACAAGATGCTGTTCAAGAAGACAAGTGCAAATATTCCTTCACAGGAGTAATAAGTGATGCAAATATTGGGTGGGAATAACTATTTAAATTGCAGAAAGGTTTTGGGCCTTTGAGTAGATTACAAGCTAAAAGTGAACCAACAATGTCATACTGTCACAAAACAACAATTTCAGGGGAAGTATGATCGAAGGGAAAGTGTACAGGACATATGTAGAATACATCTTCGTATTCTGCTCAGGACTGGTAAGAGTACTTCAGTTTTGTCCGTTTTTTTGCGTTGTTCCACAAGACAGATGTGGGACGACATCTGAAATTTCTCTGAACTGGAAAGAAGCCAAATAGTACCATGAATGTGATAAACAACCCCAAGAATTTCAATCTTTCTTTTAAGGGCTGTCTTAACTTAAGGAAAAGCAATCAAAGGAAATAATATAATAAGAACCTGTAAAGGCATAAAAGAGGAATGAAGTAATTCGGTTTTCATATTTGTGATGGATTTGAACAAGAAGTAATAGGCTGACAGTGAAGTAAGAAAGACCGATTACATAGTATGAAAAGCTTCATAATAATGAAAACAGTAAAATACTGGAACAGGTTTCTTTGAAAGATTACTGATTTTGAACTGCTGACAGCCCTAAGGACTAGACTAGATTGATATTTGATTTGTCAGGATAATATACCTGAATTTACCTTGGGACTAGAGGATGGACTAACTAATGCCTTGATGTTTCTTACAGTCCGGTCTGTTAGTACATGTAGCCGTGTGTCACAATCATGGACCTTGGGACAAAAAAACAGATATGAAAAAGACTTGGCAAAGGTACACAGATTCTTGTCCCTAATGCAGCTGTCCTGTTGCTGGAGGAAGACAAGGGTGACAGACCACAGAAAGCAGCCAGGCTCACGTGCGTTACCACAATAGGAGCTCCTGAAAGAAGTATGTGGTGTACAGAAAGAGATATTCCCTCTCCCAAGCCCCAGCCATCCGGACGCGGTAGCAATAGCTCCAACATGTAGCCTAGCTGTGTTTACAAGGTGGCACCTGGGGCATTAGGTCCGTGTGCCCTACCCAGTCACCTGCTCTGCCTCCTGCAAGACAGGAGGAGCAAGCTGAACGGCAGCATTTCACCAGCCTCATCCCAGCTGTGCCCTCCTAAATAGGATCATTCTGAAAGACATATTTTAGTTGTGAAGCAGGATCACTTATCTGTCACTTACACCTTGCCGTTTCTGCTGGAGGGGGAAAAAAAGTGCAATTTGGTTTCAGGCAAGTAGGTCATAGTGACTTAGGTCATGCTGCAGTAGCAGCATGTGGCTAGCGACAGTCTGAAAATGGAAACAAAGAGCTCTAATTAGAAAGCAGAGGTTTCAATTGTTTGAGCAGTGATTGTTATGGAAGATAAATCTTCAGGAAGTATCTGTATCTGTTACATTCAGATTTTTTCCTTCATTGCAGCCTTCTTTCAGGTATAATGCTACGTAACAGGTATTTCTGGAAGGATGTGCAGGTCTCTGCAGAACCGGCATTTTTTTGATACTGCGAAACATTTGACGTCCTTTATCTAAGTACTTTACCACATAGCTTTATTTTTTTCAGAATTCTCTTTAGAAAAAAGTTTTTTGGAAGTCCAAAAAGTCTGTTTCAAAACTTGGAGAGAAACTAGATTTCAGTGACACTCTTTGACAGGAGGAGCAAGCTGAACGGCAGCATTTCACCAGCCTCATCCCAGCTGTGCCCTCCTAAATAGGATCATTCTGAAAGACATATTTTAGTTGTGAAGCAGGATCACTTATCTGTCACTTACACCTTGCCGTTTCTGCTGGAGGGGGAAAAAAAGTGCAATTTGGTTTCAGGCAAGTAGGTCATAGTGACTTAGGTCATGCTGCAGTAGCAGCATGTGGCTAGCGACAGTCTGAAAATGGAAACAAAGAGCTCTAATTAGAAAGCAGAGGTTTCAATTGTTTGAGCAGTGATTGTTATGGAAGATAAATCTTCAGGAAGTATCTGTATCTGTTACATTCAGATTTTTTCCTTCATTGCAGCCTTCTTTCAGGTATAATGCTACGTAACAGGTATTTCTGGAAGGATGTGCAGGTCTCTGCAGAACCGGCATTTTTTTGATACTGCGAAACATTTGACGTCCTTTATCTAAGTACTTTACCACATAGCTTTATTTTTTTCAGAATTCTCTTTAGAAAAAAGTTTTTTGGAAGTCCAAAAAGTCTGTTTCAAAACTTGGAGAGAAACTAGATTTCAGTGACGCTCTTTCATTCAGCATTATCATTCAGGGCAACGAAACAAAATTGTTGTACCTCTTTCATTCTTAACATTTGCAGACTAACGTTTCATTCTCTAATTTAAAGCTTGATCTGTTAATGAACTCCACAAGCAGTGCAAAGGGCCTATTTGCAGACTTCATTGCAGTCTGAAGCTGTTTAGTGCAGGAATCTCATCTTTCCCTTGTTTTCAAGTCATCTGGTACTTTTATGACAAGGTATAAATCCCTATCAGTCTT